ATATAATGTAAAATAATATATATCATAGGAAAGAAGGAGCAACTCACACCAGAACACCCGCCACAACCACCCAGAATGCAGTAGTGCAATATATAGTCTGTAGAATTAAAAAAGAAAACTAACATAATCATAAATTTTTTTTCACACCGATTTTGTCTTCTTTATTTTTTTGTTTGTATAACCAGTCAAGTCGTCTGGGTTTTGTTGCCTTGGCAATTATTAATAGTCATGTTTCAGGAAAAAAATAACTTTTCATGATCAAATCAGTAGTGCTGATATCATCAAATATAATGTGATATGATATCAATTAATACCGGTACAACATGTAGCCTAATACAATTATTAGTAGGCCTACATGTAGTAGTAGTGAGTCAGAAATGTGTGTAAGAACCGTATACATCAGTACTGTAGGGAATTTCATGGAATAAATGGTACGGCACCAAAGTCAAAGGACTAAGAGAAAAATAGTATTCGTCCTGCGCTCTTTTGAACGTACCGGTATACCAATTTTGAAATGTTGTGAAAAAAATATCTATATGCATATTATATAATATGACTTATACAAATTCAAAAGGCAAAAATGTTTCGGCTCTCAAAAGTTCCAAACAAGCTTACACCTCGCTCATACTTAATAAAAAAATTCATATACATGTATTAGGCTTTCTGCTGGCCATAACAGTACAATAGGCTCATGTTCCGTACTGTCAACTTAGTTAAATTATAGTTAAATTACTACAGAACAGCCATTCACAACTACACTCTTTTGAAACTCATGTTCCTGTAGGGTTGGTACTTGGTTGTCAATAAACTTGACACAGCAATTTATAATATTTTATTTACCGTACACGCATACACGTGCCCAATCACCAAGCACAGGTTTTTATAGCAAACATTGGGCTAAATTAAATGTTTCTTGGGTATCGGAGCAATCACGTTCAAACTGAATAATAATTTTTTGGCCATCAAAGAAAAAAACAAAACAACAACAGACAAATAACAAAATGAACAGCACACAATCAAACATCGTTTACAATGCATAATTTTAGATAGAGTACACGTACATGTAATTATTTATAATGTTCATTTCCTCAAGATCTTCTCTTCCTTTACTTGTAATGGTAGTAAAGCTCTTGAGTGTATTACGTCCTCATTGACACTGTTTAGATGGTTTAAGATGAGGGCTGTTTCGACACCACCTGTGCTTGTAGAGAGTCTTACTACTAAACCATAGACGTGGATGTGTTACATTGTCAAAAGTTACCGCAGACTTTGACAACCACAGATAATTGTGATTTCTTCGAAGTACATGCATAGGTACAATAGGGCTCAAAACTGGTCATATTTTAATTTTTACTACGCGCACATATTTTGGAGAAACAAGCGAAAAAAAATAATTGCCCCATTATTAGCATACGCCAATGTAACGTGGTTTTGTCTTTGCATAGCCAATGAACAGTATACATGTCTTCTTACGGTTTTTATAAAGCACATACGTTTTATGCTAGCACGAATAGTTTAAACTCAAAATGTCGCCGAAGCCTATTGTAATAAGACATTAATTGACTCTTGAGTGTCCTGGATATGCGTTAAGTGTGGAAGGGTGAACAATTCAATGATTGTATAATGATAAAGCGAACAAGTATGATTTGTTCGAGAGTGTCTCAGTGATGATGGGAGATTTTGTAAAGAGAAGACAAAAAGTGTGTTCACATTGCTCGCTCAGGCTGCATTAGTCTATATTCACAAATTATTGGTGGCTAATAGAGTACGGCAAGTCCTTATTTTTCTATAGGAGCAACAATTATTGCTACGCCAACACCCTCTCCTCCTTCTCTCTCTCTCTCTCTCTCTCTCTCTCTCTCTCTCTCTCTCTCTCTCTCTCTCTCTCTCTCTCTCTCACACACACACACAAACACACACACACACACACACACACACACACACTCTCTCTCTCTCTCTCTCTCTCTCTCTCTCTCTCTCTCTCTCTCTCTCTCTCTCTCTCTATCTATCTATCTATCTTCTTCAAGGTTTCTCTGCGAAATGACTACTTGGAAGAGGGCACGTGTGTGTGTGTGTGTGTGTGTGTGTGTGTGTGTGTGTGTGTGTGTGTGTGTGTGTGTGTGTGTGCGTGTGTGTGTGAGTGTGTGGTCGAGCGTGCTCGCCCTTGTGCGTGTCTCCTTATGTGCATACGTTTGAGCGCAAATTATGCAATCAATTGTGAAAATGTGGGTTTGACTGGTTATACAGCATATAACGTACATTTTTAAAAGTAATTCTAACAATAGGCGGTTGAGAATGAACGGAATGATAGCATAGATACAAAAACTCCTATCGAATATCCTGCTTCTTGGGCCGGAAATAGACGTATCTCGTGAGCATTGAAAGTATACAAGGCATCGTCTTCATATTCTCCGAGAACTCCTTGTCTGTGCAGGAGGCGAACTCGTAGGCCACGATACGGTTGACGTGAGTGAGCATGTGCATGAGTTCCATCTTGGTGCTGTAGTTCTCCAGCACAATACAGAGCGCCTGAATGAACCAGGAGCCATCTTGGTTGTTCCGCCATGAATAGTAGCCTGGAAAAGAAAAAGAAAATTAACGGAAAGCCTTGTTTACATCTGAAATTGGCTGCATACAAGCAAGAAGATGCAAAGCTAAAGAGACATATTTATTGGCCCTCGAAGAAAGACGTTTCGTTCGTTATTAATTCGTCACAATCTAGAATGATTCGACTACTACAAGTATGAGCATGAGCCATTTCAAATAGTGTCATTCATTTACTCATAGGGGCAATGTAGTGCCCTGATTTGTTCCATGATTTGTTTTAGTTTGCGCTAACGTGTCTTACTTATTCATCATAGACTAGATAGACATTCGACCTACTTCTAAAAGCTAACGCACTGAGATTGTTAGACACCCGTTGTGAACGAAAGTTCACGGAAAATTTTGAAACCAGAGGTCTCGGTCATGTTGTCGCTATGGGTTGCCTGAGTAGATTGAATTAATCTAGATTAGCGTCCAGCATAAATCTGTCCCCAATGGCCAAGAGTTCAGGCAGTCTCGTGCGAAGCCCATGTTATTTGGGGAAAGTAGACACAATTTAAATTGCACATAAATCAGAAATCTGTTTATTTAACTTCAGCGCTAATAACAACAACAAAAAAACAATTATTCAGTCCCTGCAAAAGTTTAATATACTTTTCCCCCCGAGAAACTCACCATAAAGACAGCCCAGAACGAAATATCTTCTTTGCACTCACTCACTCTACCATAGACGGTTTTATTTCTGTATTGACCGCTCTGTGAATTCAGTTCGATTAGGGGAAAACGGTGGCGGTTTTGGAAAAGGGTGGGGGGGGGGGGGGTCTTTTCTGCTTAACCATGTCGTAAATTTTTCTAAAAAGATTAAAAAGAAAACAAAGTGAGTAGAAAAGAAGCAATCTCTCACTGATAAGGATGATGTCAAATGTGTTGTCTAATTTTCATTAAACAGAGCCTGTATGCCAGTCGGAGTCTATACTTATGGGGGAAAAGTTGGGCATTCACAGATCGTTTATTTATCTGTATGTATGTGTATATGCGCATGTGTGTGTGTGTGTGTGTGTGTGTGTGTGTGTGTGTGTGTGTGTGTGTGTGTGTGTGTGTGTGTGTGCGTGCGTGCGTGCGTGTGTGAGTGCGTGTGTGTGTTTGTGTGTATGGGGGGGGGGGGGGTGTTGTAACTTCTTGTTTTCGTTTAATGTATTTTTTTGGGTGTGTATGTGCTATTTTTAGGGTTTTTTGTTGGGGGGGGGGATTCTTTGCAACGACAGCTGTAAAAAGATATCTGGAGCTCTTGCCAGTAATAATATCTGGTTTTATTGAACACTGAGGAAAACCTACCAGGCACTGTGGAGTAACAGAAGAGGCAGTCAGCCTCGATTGGGATCTTGCGCATGTGTATTATGCCCGAGAGTTCCGGTGAGTCCTCGTCGCCGGCAAGACTTGGCGGCGACACTGGTGATCGTCTGCTGGAGGAGGGAGAAACAGGAGAGCGCCCCCTGGAGGAACACGACGTGTCTAGGTAGTTTCCACTTCTTTCGCTTTGGCACGCCTACGGAGAAATCAAGACAATATATAATATTATAAACATAAATTACTTTTTTTTTTTAAACAGCAAGTTTTCGATTTTGGTAAGGTTTGACAAGGATGATATGGACGGCCATGTTTCGAATCCACAATAAAGGTTTCTTGAAATTTGTTATATTGACAGTTTTCTTTCAAGACTCTCAATCCGAGTCATGTCGGAGAAGGGCGTTATAATCCGAGGCCATGCTATTTTTAAAATAACGTTATAATTCTGAAAGAGGCCGTAATTCCATACAAAACAAGCGCCTGGTACTTTTTCCTTTAAAAGGATTTCGACCAGACAGGAAAGCTATTTATACTGGAAAAAGGAGGAACAAAAACCTGGGGGCCTGAGGGATCAAACTGTCACACCGAGTCACACCTATACCTATTCTTGAGGCTTCACAATGTGCAGAGAGGTGACTGGAACTGAAAATGATGTTTATTTGCAATGCTTAACAAAATCGTTCCATTTTGATTTTCATAAGAAATAAAACGTGGATTCGAAAAAAACAGTGCTAAGAATTCTGTTTAAGAACACAGGCACCTATGTTTATTATTTTTTTAAAATATATATATTATTATTATTATTATTATTATTATTATTATTATTATTATTATTATTATTATTATTATTATTATTGCTATTATTATTGTTGTTGTTGTTGTTATTATTATTATTATTGTTATTCTTATTATTAAGCTTAACAAGAATTAATGGTCGTAAACTGACAGGCATTCATATTTGAGTTGTTCATATTATTATAATAGATCGATAGATAGAGAGATAGATAGATAGATACATACATAGATAGATAGATAGATAGATAGATAGATAGATAGATAGATAGATAGATAGATACCAGCATCATCAACATCATCTTCAACAGGCATACAACTGTTCCTACTGCATGTATTTGTATTGCTGAAAGTTTGATCATTGTGATGGAACTGGTAGCTGTCCTGAACCTTCTCTTAACGCGTTAAGTTTTGGAATGTCTTTAGGGAGAAGATGAATCGTAACAAAAATAAAAGAGCCGTAACATTCAACAACGTAAAGTCTATCATCTACAAAACTAACCTTATCATAACCGTGTGTTGACTACAACAAAGATCATACTCTAACTACAGCCAATACATCCCATGAACAATGCTATACCAATCAGATGGCGTCATTTTGATAGGATTGGGCATGGGGGAAAAGCGCCCCCCCCCCCTTTTTTTTAAAGGGTCTATAGAAATGGATCAGCTTCTGTCTCCACTCCCCGCCCCAGGCAATAATATAAACATCGCCTTCCCGTAAGGGCTAGGTCTAGGTACGAGCGTTCATCGATCAAGGACGTTATTTCACAAGTCTCTGTGGCTAAAGAAAATAGCTGGAAATGATATTATTACGCCTACGGGAGCGAGTTACGCCTACACATAAGCTCCTAAGCTGAATAATCTTCCTTTTTCGCCTTCTCCAACTCCGGCCTTGCACGTAAGCCTTCCCATTTCCACTCAGGCTCAAATACAAGGAAAGGCTGATGCTTCGGAGGAAGGAAAGGGGACGCCGGTGATCAGGTTGTTGGTGGGGTTTTTTTGGGCGTGTTTTTTTATATTTTAGGATGTGTTTTTGTTTTTGTTTTTTTTGGGGGGACGAGGAGAGGGGATGAGGAATTCCCCGAAAGTAAGGTTTATATTCTTTGTCGTAACAAGAATTTGAATTTAATTTGTAAGAAGCTGACCATCCATGAACATTTTCCCAGCACACGTCCAAGGGCCTTGCAATGAGAAATTTCCTTGAAGAAGAACTGGCAATCAATTTTATTACTTGTATTGCTCTTTGGATTTTATGCCTCCGAGAGAGAAACAGTCTGACCTATATTTTGATCCATTCCTATTTCTCTTAAACTCTAGTCCACATTTGTGAAAACTGTGTGACTCCTAGTGTGTTTATTAGCAACGAACCCACCCGAAAAAGCCCCAAACATCCATTCCACCTTGACAAAAGAAAATAACAGCCCCCCCCCCCTAAATCTCCTTTAGAAACCTTTATTTGTTCCTAAATCCCTTAATCTTTCTTGGGGATGTTACCTAAACCCTTCTCGTCCAACTGACAAGCGCGCGCCTCCTGCGTTTTTTTTATCCTGTCAATTTCTGGACGCTCCCCTCAACCCCATCATTTGATTGGTCGGGGTTATTTTTCTCGCCCTTGGCGTGCTACTTGTGACCGCTGCAGAAATCTCTGTCACAGGCCCACTGACTCTGTTGACCTGTATATATTTATTCTTAAAAAGCACACACAAACGTCCAACGGCAGAAAAATGGGGATTTAGAATTAAAAGGGGGAGGGGGGGGGAGGAGTGGTACGGGTGAATATAGAGTCGGGAAGGGTGGACAAAAACTAGTGAGGACTTACTTTGCTTCCAAAATGCACGTATAAGAATGACAAAAATGGAGAGAAGAGTGCCTTTATGGTCGAACCCCGTGGATGAAGCGGGTTTGACAGACAGACAGACAGATAGATAGATAGATAGATAGATAGATAGATAGATAGATAGATAGATAGATAGACAGATAGATAGATAGATAGATAGATCGATAGATAGATAGATCGATAGATAGACAAATTTATCAAAGTAGGATGGGGGAGTGGGACGATTCTATTGTGAAAGGCTCCGTTTTGGACAGGTTCCCGTTAAAGAAGGTATATAAATATGAAAGAAGAAAAAATGTTGATAGAAAATTATAACAGTGTATTACTTTTCTACCTTAAACAATGCAATGTTGTTTGCTCACCTGTATGAAAAAGAGTTTGGGCTTGCCAATGAGGGATGGACACCGGTCGCCTTTAAAGGGGAGTACCAGAAGGTCAAGGGGCACATGACCGTCCTTGGCATAGACCAGACCCTCACGCCCATGAGACAGTACGGCACAGCCAAAGCAGTCGTGGTCCGAGTGGTCACTTGCTGCCGCTGAGGGAAGAATTGTTTTTGGTGTAAGTTTTTCCCCATTCAGAGGTGGTTTGGACTTCTGACACGTACGGCACCTCACCAACTTGCCAGTAAAGCGTAATAAAAAGAATACAAGGGTACAAGGAAAAGAGAAGACAAGGGAAGATCAGTATCAAGGATTTGAGGGATACCCTAAAAACATACAAAATTCCACCCAGCCAGGTCATCCAGCTTGCTAGAGACAGATAGCTCTTTCTCCCCTCGACGCCCTAGAGGTACAAGAGGAAGGACAAAATAAAGTAAGTAAGTTTTCCACATTAAAAATAGCAGTTGATGGCGGGGTCAAAGGAGAAACAGTAGCGCTCTAGAAGATCTGTTCTTGTGTAAATTGTAGTTGATGATGATTGTAAAGTTAAAGAAAAAGTAACAAAGCTCAGGGACTACTAGGATTAGTGTTGTGACGTAAAATGACTTTGCTGATGGTAGAGGTTGGTGTTTTGGCGGCGGTATATGATGATGATAAGTATAAAATTGGACAATTCCATAAGTCTTAACCATTTTTTATTCCTTGCTATTTACTATGATGATGATGATGATGATGATGATGATGATGATGATGATGATGATGATGACGATGACGATGATGATGATGATGATGATGATCATGATGATCATGATGATCATGATGATGATCATGATGATCATGATGATGATCATGATGATGATCATGATGATGATCATGATGATCATAATGATGATCATGATGATGATGAAAATTAAACGCTGTTATCGTCGAAGTTAAGTCCAAACACTTAACCACATCGTTTCAAAGGCTATAGAGCTGAGAGGAATGTTTTACTCCCAAAAATAATACGAACAATTTTGACCTGTGTCAGTTTCGCAGCCACAGCGTCCAGCTGATAATACGACCACTACATCATGTACGTCCTGCATTCATTCCTGCACTGCCTGACCCTATGATAGCAAGTATTATAGAGTAGTAAAAAGTAAAAAGAAAAGCCTTCGTTTCTTATCCGGCAAAGTGCACTTCAAGACCTCAGTATCAAATTCTCCCGTCTCCGATCGCTTTCTCCTCCAACAATTTTAATGAGCTATTATCCCACGGGAAAACTTTCAGAAAAAGTGCAGTAATGCCGGAATGGGAAAGTTTTTAAGAAATGTTACATTTTGAAACATAACGAGAGTATGGAAACGAAACCGCCCCCCCAACCCGGTCACCTTGTGATATTGAATTGCTCCCCTTCACAAAGCGGGTGTAATAATTATCTTTAATTAAAGCTCAAACTTGAACGTGCATGTCAACCGTACCTTTTTAACTTTTAATCCACTATACTTATTACTTATACGGCACACGTATAGTGGAGTACATGCATTAATTACTTTTTTTTTTAAAGGGAATTCACACCTCTGGATAGTCAACAATTTAAAAAAAAATTCTTTTCCAACTTCAATCTATTGAATCATTACACCCTTAAGCAAACAGTCGACACAATCGGTGGTCAGTTTTCGATCTCCGTAATATCATTATAGATAGAATAGCTCCAATGCTGGCGTATTCATATATCGCTCTCGCTTGCCTCTGCTGTGTCCCTCAGAGCGATATTATTATCATAAACCCTAATTAAAGAATGGTCATCTGGTGTATTATGCTAGCAATGTATCATCCGCATTTGGATAATTGGGTTTAGGATCCGGAGTCCTTGATATTTGAGGATGCGCGCGCGTTAGCCTAGAAAAATATGAAAGCGTTCAGAAAAGAAAAAAAAAGTTTAGCCTATATAAATGATAATGCGGATGGTGGAATGCACATAGTAGAGAGAGAGAGAGA